AAAAAAAAAAAAAGGGAGGGCTCATCCTCACAGACAGTGACCCTTGAGAAAATGCAACATTTGAATGCAGGTCCTTTAACCTGTTCTTAGTGCTCTGTTTCTACCTTAACTGGGGGGGGCAAAGTAGAGAGCAGGTTCCTAATCACCAAAAAAATGAAAGTGGTGTGCTGGGGTCATCATTCCTGTATGTGGCCCACTGTCCAGGGGACCAGGGGATATTACCTGCCCCACTGACAAAGGCACCACCCCATGCATGACACAGGCAGGGAGACACCGTTGTGGAGAGTGGGGCCTCATCTGCTGGGATGCACCATATCCCAAACCATAAGACCATGCCCAACCAGCCCAGGGATTCCACACCAGCAAATCTCACTAGCTGCAGCCCATCAGCCACACTCGGAGACTCTGCTTACTCGGATAAGATGGAATTTGCCATCTTTGGGCTTCAAAAGCCCTATCCCTGTTTTCTTCCCCAGAACCTCACCCCAAGCGTACTGGATCCTGCGCTGGAGCAGGTTCCCTGCTTGGCCATAAAACTCTTCCCTCTGCGTTTGTTCTTTGATCTCTAATAATTTTTCTTTTTTAATATGCATAAAGCCTTGAGATGCTGGGCTATGGTAGGTGATTAAGGACCCACTTCATTCTCACAGGGGGAAAATTATACAATAAAATTATACATTTGTACATATTTCTGAGTGTTTGGCAGCTTCCATTACCAGGGTTTGTTGGACACAATCCTACCAGGTGTTAGAGCAGTGCGTGCACACGTGGACAGGTGTTTTAAAAGAGGTGTTTCCAACAAACTCTTAAGTGGAAGCTGGATACACAGAACTGATGAAAAGGAGCAGGAGAGGAGAACTAAGTCCCCATCTGCTCAGCTCACCTTGTTTCCCTCCTCCTGACTCCAGTTACTTCCTAAAATGACATTTCCAGGGAGCACAGGTAGGAACCCCAACTCAGAACAACTAAAAACTAACTCAATTATATGGGGAAAAAAAGCAATTATGGAACTATATGGAAACTATATACGGTGAAAAAATAAAACAAGCAGTTAGGCTTACCTTCGCACATGTAAACAATGACCGATAAAATCACGAGTAGATTCCGTTAGGTACAACTCAGCAACCATCTTCATTATCCTCATCGCCATCACCATCATCCTCATCTATGTTTAATGAGAGTTACCCATGAGCCAGGGCCAAGTGATTGACCTATATTCTATCATTCAACACACACAATGAAGCCATAGGGCCAGTAATGCTATTATTCACATTTTAACGAATTTGACCAAGGTCTCATAGCTAGCAGTGACAAGGGCCAAGAAGCAAACCCAGGTCTGCTGGGCTCTCTCCTTACATGTTGTTAGCCACTGGGTTCCACTAGTCTCCTAACAGCCACTTGTATCGTCCCTTAAATAATTTCTGTGTTTTCTGAATTTTTTACTGTATTAACCACTTTCATAATAAAGAGATTTTGAGACCAAAATGGACAGACAGAAGAGAGCAGATTCTTTAATTCTGGTAGAAGTGGGCAAGGTAGAGATGCCCTAAGTGGCTCATCTAGCCTGAGGTCACCTGGAGGTAACCCCTAAATGTCACAAAGGAAGGACTCAGAGGAAATTCCTCACCACAAGAGGGCTAGCACTCTTCAACAGGCCAGGTCCATCCATCCTTCTTCAGCTTCTTTGTAGTCATCAGAAACATTAGAAAAGCTTATTGGTCTTGATATACAGAGCATGGTCCTATAACTAAGAGGAAAGGAAGAAGCAGGGAGTATGAGAGAACTAAAATTCCCAATCTACCAAAACAGACCATGTCTAAAATCGTTAAGTCAACAGACAACAATATATGTATATGATTTAAGAATATGAAGGAAAATATTAGCAGAGACAGATAAAATAATGTTACATTTTTCTCTGGGGAACCAATAATGGGGGAGGCCAAGAGGCTGGAGCATAAGAGATTGTTGCATTTTTATAAGCATTTAGCACCATTTGGCTTTCTAAGTCAACTGCCAATATTTTTGACTTGTAAAAAATGATGAAATAAAAATAGAACTCACCCTCCTTAGTGGTCTCCTTTAGCTTAATGCACTCCAGGAAGGAGCTCAGAGAGAATGTGGTTTGATGGTGTTTGTGGAACCACGTGATCTGGGACGTGGCAGATGGGAAGTACCTGTTGCCATGGGAAGAGCACTGGATCTTGAATCAGAATGCCTGGGTTCTAATCTTGACCTTGGTGCTCTAAACTCTGTGGCCTTGGGCAAGGTACATAACCTCTCTGAGCCTTTCTACCCCATAAAGGCAGGTAGGTATCCAGACCCCATATAACCAACAAGAGGATTAAATGATTTTTATCCCAATTCAGTGATACAAACCAAACTTCATAGTGAGGCTGCGAGGCATGGGACCTCAGAGGTCTGGGCCAGGCAACTAAGAGGCACAGAAAGACTGGACCCCAGATAAAAGATACAGGTTTCTTGCCCATGAACCAGGCACTGAGCCTAAAACCAAGTCTCTAGTTCAGATTTGAACTGAAGTCTCCTCCCCCACACACCGTTCCCAAGATTTCTAAGACTATGGAATATATTTGGGGTTCTGTGGGCTCAAAAGGGAGGTAAGTGTCCCTGGTGTCAGCCTGCATCCCTCTGAGTGAGGTTTACCCAGAATCCATCTGACTCTGGCACAAATCCTCTTGGACAAAATCTTTGCTCAATTCTTTCCAATTCAAAAAAAGGGGACACCTGTGTGGCTCAGTTGATTAAGTGTCCAACTCTTGGTTTCAGCTCAGGTCATGATCTCACAGTTTGTGGGTTCAAGCCCCATGTCAGGCTACACTCTGACAGTGCAGACCCTGCTTGGGATTCTCTCTCTCTCCCTCTCTCAGCCCCTCCCCCCACTTTTTCTCTCTCTCCCTCTCTCCCTTTCTCTCAAAGTAAATAAATAAAAATAAACTTTAAAAACATCACCAAATTACCTAGCCTTAGAATCAAGCCTTACACCCAAAAGAGAAACCTCCAGCCTTTTCTCCAAGACAGGGTCCAACTCATCACTATGTCAAGCTTCACCACAAGTCTGGTCACAGCTGTCATTTTAAAAAAAAAGCAGGTCCAGCCTTCCAAGAACCAGCCCAGCACAGAGCAATTGTTCCAGGCTCCAAGAACTTAGAAGAGCCCACAGTTTCTGCTCACAGCCCAGGGGGGCGCCTGCCAACTACCTGGTTGAAAAGGGGCCCTTTTTCCCCCTCCACTCTCTGGAATCAGAGCCAGCACTGGTTTGGGGGTAAGAGAGACCTGGCACGTCCATGCTCCCCTGAGACTGCCACAGGCTCTCTTTCTCCCCCACCCCCTCCATTTCCTGTGACTGAACAGCACTATTCAGACAGCACTACTCTTGGCTGGTATGTCAGGGTGTGAAAAGGTAGAAGGGATGTCCTGTAAAGCAGCCCTGGGCACAGAGAACACAAAACTCCAGACTGGACACAAGGTACTCTCACTAGTACTGGGATGCGATGGGGGCTGGAGTCTGGAGTCTCCCCAGAGGTCTCAAGGAACACACGCTGTTCTCTGCAGAGACAGCCTGTGGGGTGAACACACAGACCTGCAGACCCATTCCCCCCCAAACAAAGTTTATTTTTTAGCACTTCATACTTGGCAAAGGTCAATTATGATGGCAATCCATGCAATGGTTAAATTAATAAAATACTTCTGGTTCAGAGAAAAACCCTTCAGACCAGCTTTGATTCCATCAGCACAAGGTAAGGGACCAAGGGGGCTAGGCAGCCAACGGAGGGTAAAGGGGAGTATTTAGCCAGTGACTAAATGTCATTTTCCTTGAGTCAAGCGATTCTCATTTTATTCAAGTGTCCTGGAAATGATGCTGAAGACTTTTTTTTTTCCACTTTGGGGAATTCTTTTTTGGCCAACAAATAACTCTCAATCATCTGCTTTTAAAAGTATTGCGCAATTTCTAAGTAACAGCTTTTTAAAAATCAGGCTGACACTGCCAACTCTCGCTGGTTGGGGTTTTCCGAGTCACCTACAGAAAGACGGCTGCCCTGCTGAGAGCCTGTCCGGGAGACCGGCCTGTATATCTTGTGCCCCAAAGCATCCGTTTCCTCAAAAATGTAGCCAGGAGGCTCAGGGTATGAAGCCAGGCACCTGCCCATGTCCTTGGGAGTAAAGCTGATGGTGTATGTGGTCTGGCCCTCCACAGGGATATTTCCTCGGGAGCCAGCCCAAGGAGGCTTACAGCTTTTGGTATTGATGGGTGGGTGGGGCACATAGTGAGCCCGCGTGGTAGTCAGACAGTCCAAGGGCTCAGTGGGAATGTTCAGCTGGGGAATGGGTTTGGCTGGCTCCATGCGCGTCCCCGGCCACTGCTTGTAGTCGTCCTTGGTAGTAGTGGAGCTTTCAAAGCGGCCACCCTTCTTGACTGAGATCACTGGCCGGAAGGACTGAGCTGGGGCACCCTTAGGGTACATGTAATGGGCCTGCACTGTTGTCAGAAGGTCCATCTTTTCTTCAGGAGGGACATAAGTGACAGGAGCTTTGGAGAACATCTGGGGCGTTGGCCAAGCTTGGTACTTGTCTCTAAACTCAGTGGTGTTAGAGAAAGGCGTTTCTAAACCACAGGACCTGGCTGGAGGTTTCAGACTCTTGGCTGGCTCTCCCATCAGGCCCCGGAAAGACTCTTTATGGGTGGTAAGGCTTTCAAAGGGGATTTCACAGGGACTGAACTTCGCTGCCTCATACGCAAAGCGTTTCTCCATCGGGTGGGCCACATAGCTCATCTTGTAGTTAGTCAGATCCTCCAGGGGGATGTTACAGAGCTTGGGCATGGCGAGAGGCTTACAGCTCATGGTGCTCACTAGGCCCTTTACAGAATAGTCATCCTGGTGTGTAGTTCTACTATCAAACCTGGTTGATGCTGGTCGGTAATGGTGTTCCGGATGAAGTAGCTCTCGTCTTGGTTGGTTCCAGGGTAAATAATCAGCTGAAAATAAAACAGAAGTGGTAATCACTTACAAATCAAGTCCATATAACCTGCATGTATTCTAAGGGGCTCCAAAGCCTTAAACCAGTCTCCAGTGAGATGGTCCTTGAGACAAAGGAAGAATAGGTTCCTACCACCACCTCAACCAAGGATTTAATATTTCAACTTTATGGTACTTGCAGTTACTGTTCAGAACAGATACATTTATAGGAGTCTCATCATACCCCACAATGCCGCAATGCAGGGATCTTAGAGGGTCCACCACTGTGGGAGGACCTAGTGATCTGATTCCCTCTGAGGAGTCCAACCACTGGCTTCTCCTGATCCAAGAACAGTTCTGTTCTTCTGTGGGGAAGTGCCCTTTCTGAATCAGCACAGAGTGACTGGGAAGATATGCATGCTGTAGTGAGACAGGGGATTCACAACCCCCCACTGGTGGGCCACCAGCCAGACCAAACAGACCTCTCTTCCCATATTGTGACCATGATTGTATCCCTATAACCCACACATTTAATCCATATAAAGCAAATATGCTGCCCCAAGAGAATAGGGCCATTGTACTGGCTAATGAGAGAATAGCAGCTGCCATCTGCATTGAGTTTATTATATGACAGTCAATGTTCTAAATACTTTCTATATGAACTCATTTAATCATCAGACAGGCCTAATCAGGTGGCTGCTTTCAATATTCCCATTTTAAAGATGCAGAAACAGAGGCACAGAGAACTTAGGGAAATTCGCCAAGGTCACTTGGCTAGAAGTAGAAAAGCATGAATGCAAATCCAGCTCCAGATTTCCTGGAGAAATTCCAGGAATTTCCTCCAGATTCCACTACCTGGTTCTGACAATCAAGGAACACTATGTACCAGCTAACTGTGCTCAGGAATTTCCATACATGACCTTGTTTCATCTTACAACCCTCTGTGATGGGTATAATTACCTCTATTTTACAGATTTCCTTTTTGTTTGTTGTTTCATATTTATTTAAGTTTTAATTTTATTTTTTATTTTTTAAAATTTACATCCAGATTAGTTAGCATATAGTGCAACAATGATTTCAGGAGTCGATTCCTTAGTGCCCCTTACCCATTTAGCCCATCCCCCCTCCCACAACCCCTCCTGTAACCCTGTTTGTTCTCCATATTTATGAGTCTCTTCTGTTTTGTCCCCCTCCCTGTTTTTATATTATTTTTGTTTCCCTTCCCTTATGTTCATCTGTTCTGTGTCTTAAAGTCCTCATGTGAGTGAAGTCATATGATTTTTGTCTTTCTCTGACTGGCTAATTTCACTTATCATAATACCCTCCAGTTCCATCCAGTTGCCATCTTGCAAATGGCAAGATTTCATTCTTTTTGATTGCCAAGTAATACTCCATTGTGTATCTATACCACCTCTTCTTTATCCATTCATCCACCGATGGACATTTGGGCTCTTTCCATACTTTAGCTATTGTTGATAGTGCATGGGGGTACATGTGTCCCTTTGAAACAGCACACCTGTATCCCTTGGATAAATGCCTCGATTTATCTGGAGTCCAAGAGCAGGACTCAGAGAGGCTAAGAAATTTCTCTCAAAGTCACATGGCTAGGGAATTAAGAGTTGGAATTTAAACCACATAGTTGACTCCAAAGTCATGCTCTTCTGACAGCCTGTATTATAGTTAGGAGCACTGTGTATCTGGAGAGAATGAAGGTTCAAGAAAATACTAGTGGAAAATAATCAGAGAATATTTGCAGAAAGAGGAGAATTTCAGCATGTTTGAAGAATGAAAAGAATTGGCCACCTATATCTACAGGATGTCTGTCTCAAGAGGAACATTTGCTGGGGGGGACTGGAATGGCCAAGATAACAAGAGGTCTGCACCCAAAGAAAACCTGCCCTAAGGATGGCCCCCATGCATCCTGAGGAGGTTTTGTCCTCAGACACCACAAAAGACTTTTAAAGTAACTTCCCCACACAGATCTAAGGGGCAGCTTTGAAATTAACAACGTAGGTGAGAAAAATAGGACAGCAAACTATGTCATTCAAACACTTTGACACTGCTTCCGTTCTTTTTGTAATACTGGGCTCACACCAAAGTCCTACACTGCCCCCATTGTGCCTATCAATTACCAGATCTAAAGTAACCAGTATGAAATCCTAGTGGACCCTCTGAATCCACAGGGAATTCTCTTGTTTACAGCTTTACAAAGGATTAGTACAAAAGCAGCTTCTCAGGGGCCTTGGTTATATATAGCCAATACCCGTGGACTCCATAGGCACACTTTCTTTTAAAACACCTTTATTGAGATATAACCTGTATAACACAAAATACACTATCTTACATTTTTTAATTATTCAATAACTTTTACAGACCTGTACAACCATCACCAAAATCCAGTTATAGAACATTTCTACCCCAAAAGTATCGATCAAGACTATCTGCAATTAATCCTTATTCCCATTCCATCTGCTCTTGGTCTCTATAAATGCACACTTTCTATACATTTTATATAAATATAATTGCACAATATATAGTGTTTTGCACTTGGCTTTTTTCACGTAACATAATTGAGATTAATCCCTGTCGTAGCATGTATCAGTTCACTTTTTTTTTTTTGAAATTTTTTAACATTTATTTATTATTGAGAGACAGAGACACGGAGCATGAGTGGAGGAGGGGCAGAGAGAGACAGAGACACAGAATCCAAAGCAGGCTCCAGGCTCTGAGGTGTCAGCACAGAGCCCAATGCAGGGCTCGAACTCGCAAACCGCGAGATCATGACCTGAGGCGAAGTCGGATGCTCAACCAACTGAGCCACCCAGGCACCCCCAATTCACTCCTTTTAATTGCTGAATAGTATACATTATATGGATACACCAAATTTTGCTTATCAAATATTGATGAATATTTGGGTTGTTTATACTTTTTGGCTATTAGGAAATTTTCTGCTATGAACATTCATGGTCAAGTCTTTGTGTAGATATATATTTCATTTCTCTTAGGTAGATAGGTAAATGGTGTAACCTATGTTATATGGTTTATCTATGTTTAACTTTTTAAGATAGCACAAACTTTTCCAAAGTGAATGTACCATTTTACATTCTCACCAGCAATTTCTCCACATCTTCACCAACGCTTGTTGTTGTTGTTTAATCTTTATTTTCGAGAGAAACTGTGTGAGTGGGGGAGGAACAGAGAGAGAGAGGGTGACAATGCAAAGCAAGCTCCAGGCTCCGAGCTGTCAGCACAGAGCCCGACGTGGGGCTCAAACCCACAAACTGTAAGATCATGACTTGAGCCAAAGTCGGAAGCCTAGCCGACTGAGCCACCCAGGTGCCTCTTGTTATTGTGTTTTAATTACAGACATTGTAGTAGGTGTTTAGTGGAATCCCATTGCAGTTTAATTTAAATTTCCCCAGTAATGCATGATGGTAATAGAAATAAACACAGAGAGGGGCGCCTGGGTGGCTCAGTCAGTTAAGCGGCCGACTTCGGCTCAGGTCATGATCTCACGGTCCGTGAGTTCGAGCCCCGCGTTGGGCTCTGTGCTGAGCGCTCAGAGCCTGGAGCCTGTTTCAGATTCTGTGTCTCCCTCTCTCTGACCCTCCCCCATTCATGCTCTGTCTCTCTCCGTCTCAAAAATAAATAAACGTTAAAAAAAAAAAAATTAAAAATAAATAAATAAATAAATACAGAGAGTTAAAAAGGAGCAGACACAAGAATATGTCCCAGATGAAAGAACAAGACAAAACAACAGAAAATGGGCTAAACAAAACAGAGGTAAGCAACATGCCAGACAGGGGGTTCAAAGTAGTGGTCATACCTTATGAAGATAAAAAGCTTCTGCACAGCAAAGGAAACAACCAACAAAATTAAAAGGCAACCTAGAAAGATATTTGCAAATGACATATCGGACAAAGTAACCCAGTGAAGAAATGCAAGGCAGAGATTAAGAACAGATACTCTCCTGAAGACATCCGGATGGCCAAACAGGCACATGAAAAAGTTGTTCAACGCCGCCTCTTTATCAGGAAATACAATCAAAAACCACACTCAGATATCAAATTACTGCCAGCTGAGTGAATAAAATGACAACTAGGAAAGACCAGAGTTGAGAGAGTGGCGAAACGGGAACCCTCTTTTGCACTGTTGGTGGAATGCAAATTTGGTGCAGCCACGGGAAAGCGCAGTGGAGGTTCCTTCTAGAAATTAAAAATAGACCTCCACCCTATGACCCAGCAATAGGCACTTGCTAGGAATTTACCTAAGGATACAGAGCTACGGTTAGGGCACTTGTACCTCAAATGCTTGGCACTCTCAACAATTAAAATTATAATGATAGGAACTGAGGCGTGAGCAAGTGAAATAAGTTTCATACAGAGAAAGACAGATACTACATGGTTTCACCTCATGTGGATCCTGAGAAACTTAACAGAACCCATGGGAAGGGGAAGGAAAAAAGATAAGAGTGGGCCAGACCAAAGCATAGGGACTGTTAAAACCGAGAACAAACTGAGGGAAGTTGATGGGGTGGAGGGAGGGGGAGGGTGGGGTGATGGGTGTTGCCAAGGAGGGCACCTTTTTGGGATGACACTGGGTGTTGTATGGAAACCAATTTGACAATAAATTTCATATATTGAAAAAATAAATAAAATAATTAAAACTAAAAAAAAAAAAAAAAAAACAAAGTGAAGTAATAAGTAAAGATCACTGACCCTAGAGAAGAGTTTCCAATGAAAACTTCAACAAAGAGACAGAAAATACCTTTAAAAGAACCAGTCAGGGGCACCTGAGTGGCTCAGTTGGTTAAGGGTCCAACTTTGGGTCGGGTCATGATCTCACAGTTCATGAGTTTGAGCTTCGCATTGGGCTCTCCATTCTCACCAAGGAGCCTGCTTCAGATCCTCTGTCTCCCTCTCTCTCTACCCCTTCCCCTGCTCATTCTCTCTCAAAAATAAACATTAAAAAAATTTTTAAAGAGCCAGTAATAGTTGTGTTTATTACAGCATTATTGACA